AGCTCGCGGTCCCCCGGGGGACTGCGAACTGCGCAGCCGACGCCACTTTCGTGGGCTCCTGGGAAGCACGGCGGAGCAGGGGAGTACGCGCACCCAGCCGAGACCTCGCAGCTCCCTGGGGGCTGCGAGCTGCGCAGCTGACGCCACTTTCGTGGGCTCTCGGGGGGCACGGGGGGGCACGGGAGTACGCGCATCCAGCCGAGACCTCGCAGCTCCCTGGGTGGCTGCGAACTGCGCACCTGACGCCACTTTCGTGGGCTCTCGGGGGGCACGGGGGAGCATGGGCGTACGCGCCCCCAGTCGAGACCTCGCAGCTCCTTGGGGGCTTCGAACTGCGCAACCGACGCCACTTTCGTGGGCTCCTGGGAAGCACGGCGGAGCAGGGGAGTACGCGCACCCAGCCGAGGCCTCGCAGCTTCCTGGGCGGGGCTGCGAACTGCGCAGCTGACGCCACGTCCGTGGGCTCCCGGGAGGCACTGGGGAGCAAGAGAGTACGTGCACCCAGCCGAAACCTCACAGCTCCCCGGGGGCTGCGAACTGTGCAGCTGCGGAATGGGGGAGCACCCAGACCGACCCAAGACTTTGCGCTTCCTGGCTCCTTGGGGTTCCGCGGTGCGCAATTGCTGCCACTGCCGCGGTCTCTTGGGAGGTTCCACGGGGCAGAGTGTCCTAGCAACGTGTTCTTTTGTATGGAGAATTCCTTTGTCATAGTCGGCTCGCGTTGAGAAGGGGTTGGGCATGTCTCGGGAATTCAAGACAACAACCACCAACAACAACAAAAACGACCCCTCTCCACCTCCCCCGACCCCATGGCGGCTCCAAGAGGGCCTCCAAGAAGATCAAGATGGCCCCTGATGGCCTCGAATACGTTCCAAATTGCCAAATCGGTCTACGACGGCACAAAACAGACTGGCCCAAGAGGCCCCCAAGAGAACCCCAGGACGGCCCGCATATGCCCCAACATCCGTGGATATCCATGTGTTTTTGAAGGATTTGAATGTTCGAGCCCTCCAGGGGAAAGGAACCGTGGCCCCCAGGAGGGCCCGAAGACGGCCTCAGGATAGCCCCAAAGGCCCCCGAGAAGTGCCCAACAGAGACCCCAGACGGCCCAAGCGACGTCCAGCACGACGCTAAAGCACCTCAAGAGGGCCCCAGGACGGCCCAGAGAAACCCCAGAGACGGCCTCCAAATACGCCAGACGGGCCGAGAGCGACTTCAAAATACGACCCAGGGCCTCCTAGAGGTCCTGAGAGGCCTCCAAGAAGCCTCCTGGCGGCCTCCCCCAGGCGCCCGCCCCAGCGCGGTGGCGGAACTGCTTTTCCGATGGCGACACGTAGTGGGTACTGCGCCGTGCCCTGTGCCCGAAAATGCTGCGCGCGCGTGCCCTGAAGCGCTCGTCGGGGGGCCGGTTGAGACAACGGCAGCTTAGACTCGGCTTCTGTGAGCATCGTTCAACCGATGCATATCCCCAAGAGCGCGGCCTTGGTCTCACTGGCCTATGAACCCCCCCCCGGGGGGCCCCCTAGATGGGGATATAGGCTGTTCCCTTCAGGTTTCGAGGAGCATGCAGACCTCTGCTGCATGCGACTGTTTGGAACAGTGCGTCCTATGGGGGAGACTCCACCTAGTCGAAACAGGCGCCAAAAACACCCAGATCTTCTCCACGGGGGGGGGAGTGGGGGTGCGAGGGCCCGCGCCAATCGGCAAAACAATGAGTAAACAAACGATCACATGGTGGGGATCGGGATGGGGATAGGGATCGCGTGACACGGTACAGACCCTGAGCCCCTCCCAAGCTCCAAGCGCGCTGGTTCTCCGAGCTGCGAAGCCAGTCGTGGGCGACGGGGGGCCCCCACCCCCAAGGCCAGTTATGTCATTGACTCAGCTCGCCCACCCTGAATTTGAAGAAGAGCAGCTCAGGGCTGGACCCAAACGTTGTTGTTCGTTTGGTTGTAGTTTCCCTGTTTTCTGCCAAAACGAAAAACTAAACGCAGCCGAAGTCCAGCAAAACAACGTTTAGGTCCAGCCCTGAGAGCACCTGGTGGGGAGACCAGAAGTCGGGCGCGGCCAAACCGACCCGTAGCAGACCGTCCCCTTTCCGTGACGTCACCCTCGCATTTCGAGCTCCCCTCCGGCGCTCCGGCCGCATAGATACGTCTTGGGGCGAGGCGAGGGAAACGTCGCGGAAAGGGATGGTTTACTAAAGGTCGGTTAGGCCGCCTTTGAAAAAAGTAGCGAAACGGCTACGTACTCCCTGGACATCTCCCAAGGTGCGTTGTGACCAGAATTTCCAGGCGAATCCAGCAGTGGCGACGGAGGCCCAGACAGGGGCAATCAACGGGAGATGAGCGGTACCGGTAGCTTTACAGGAACGAAGAATGACATAAATATAAAAACTCGCAGGGGCGCGCGGATTCCTCGGATCCGCGCTGAGCCCCCCCCTGGCGGCGCCTCCGGCGCCGCCTCCGCGCTCCGCGCGCCAGGGAGGGGGGTCCAGCGCGGATCCGAGAAATCCGCGCGGACCTCCGAGCCTTTATGTTTATGTCACTCGTCGTTCCCCTAATCGTGTCCTCTTCCGGGGAGGTCCTGGTTCCAGACCGCCTTCCTCCGGACCAGCGGCTGCAGCAGCATCTCCACCACCATCTTCCGGACGTCGTGCTCCAGCCCGGGCTCGTCCTGCGCCAGCCTGCCGAGCTCCTGTCTCTCCTTCCCTCTCTCTCTCTCTCGGGGCCCTCTCGGCGCTCCTGCCCCCGACTTTGCGGCTGCCGCTCGTAGGGGAAGAAACCGTGGCATAAGCACAACAACTCGGAGGTCCGTGTGGGCTTCTCGGATCGGCACTGGACCGCTCTTCTTGGCGCGCGGAGCGCGCCAGGGGCAGCGCCGGAGGCGCCGCCAAGGGTCCCAAACGTTGATCCGAGGGATCCGCGCGGCCCTAGTTTTTCTGATTCTGTCATTGGTTGCTCCTCTAGCCCCTGCTCCATGATTCCCCCCCAGGCCTCGGAGGAGAATGCTTGATCGGCAGCGGGCCAAACGACTTCAAACAGTCATAGGAGGCTTGGAAATGAGTACCAGCACCAGCACAGGGGGTTGCCTCCACCAGGGGAAGAGGATCCTAGATGTCGGGGTCGGTGGTAATCTCCCGGCCGGCCATCCAGAAGCTCGCATATTACCACCATCACCGAGATTATCTCCCCTCGATGCAAGCACACCGACGATATTGGTGTTGGTGTCCACCTGTGGGCCTCCGAAGTCAGCCCTGCCGGAGCCCTCCAGAGGCCTCCGACAGTTCACGAAGTCCCAGGCGCCAGAGGTCCCAGAAAGCCGTCCGAGGTCCGCAGGAGGACCAGACGCAGGACCAAAAGCCTGCTCCGCGCTGACGAGTCGAGTCCAATGGCGCCGCGCGAGAAAGGCGCTGCTTTCCGATTACGCAAGACACGATGGAGTCCTTTTGGGGGCTCCAGGCCTGCCATGACACGCATCGGCGGATAAACAAGCAATCAGCGCAATTCGAAGGGACGAGTGGGAGGGGTAGGATGTCCAAATATGGCGAAAACGCTCCTGGCTAATCCCTCGCCCTCTCGCCTTGAGGCGGCACAAGGGGGTCTGAACCGGTTGGGACCCCAGAAAATCAGTCAGGAGTAGGGGACGCAACCAAATCCGCTCAAAATCGGTCCCCCGGACCCCTTCCGGGGTCCATCTGGTGAAGTTTTTCACCCCGAATCCGTTTTTCACGGTCCCAGGCACCGAAAACGGCCCCCAGGAGGCAGAAGACGGCAAAAAACCTCCCCGAACCCACAACCTCGAACATCGCCCGCCCTACTTCCTGCTTGCAGGAACCAGTGCTGGGCAATCTCAGACCCCCAGCCGACTCGAAACACTTCGCCATCTCGCACCCCTCCCCAGCGTGGCGTGGCACGGATCTCCTTCACGCACTTCACCCCGAGCTCCCGCGCGTGCACCATCCCCAGCTTGGCCAAGGCGTGTAGCAGCATCACCATGGGGTCACGATCGTCGTCCGCCTGCCCCTCGCTCGCGCCCGGGGGGGCGCCTGCCGAAGAGACTCCTCGACGCTCTGCGAGGGGCGGAGAACGCCAGCCGCACACATTCGGGGAGGAAGCAAAGACATAATCATGAAAACTAGGAGATCGGCGCGGATCTCTTGGATCGGCGCCAGGGAAAGGTGTCCAACACCGATCCAAGGAATCCGCGCGAACCTCCCAGTTGTCGTGCTTTTGTCATTATTTGCCCCTCGACACATACAGCCTTGCCTGCCTCGTCGTCGTCGCATCCCTCCTATCGCCCCTCTTCCCCTTCCCCCTGCCGAGCTCGGGTCATGCGGCGGCTCCTCCGACACATCCGCACGTCACGATGACGCACTGGCCAGGCCTCATCCTTCCTGAGATGCCCAGCGCCACCCCATTCCCCAACAGCGGAACCCTGGGGCCTGAACTTGCTGACAGGCACAGGCACTGCTTCACACCCAACGTGCCAAGGGGCACACGACCACGCCTCCTTCCCCACCAAATCACGGCACCAAGTTCGGCGCATGTGGCGCTCCAATTTGGACTTCCGAAATGGGTACTGAAAGAATGGGGACAATGCCCAGCAACAGATGTTGCCCCAAACCAACAGCGGCCGCTGCTGGGTAGGCGGCCTTCTGTCTAACATGGATAGAGGCCGCGGCGGCGCGGACCGCGAGCCTTGCTCCAAAGGAACAACTGCTGCTGGCCACCGTGCCAATGTTTTCCGCACCCATTTCGATCGTGGCGTTCCGACTCGCGTGCCGCCCTGCTTGCCGTCGCTCGGACGACCCATGTCCCGTGCATTTGTCGGTTTCGTGCGTGCTTTGTTTTGCTCGATGGTCCAGGATGGTCCTCAAGGGTCCTCCCCGAGAAAAAAATACACATGTCCGAGCGATGCCAGGCCTGGGCCCAGGACCACCGCAAATGGCATCCGAGCAAGGGGTGGGGGAGCATACCTCTAGCGCACGCCGATCTCCCAGGTCCAGGGCGGGCCTCGCCAGGGCCGGTGTGTGCGTGTGTAGTGTGGACGAGGCCGACGTCGTCGTCGTCGTCGTCGTCGTCGTCGTCGTCGTCGTCGTCGTCGTCGTCGTCGTCGTCCTCGTCCTCGTCGCCGTCCTCGTCGTCGTCGTCGTCGTCGTCGTCGTCGTCGTCGTCTTCGCCCTCCTCCTCGCCCTCCTCCTCCTCCTCCTCCTCCTCCTCCTCCTCCCAATCCTCCTCTTCCCCCTGCTCCTCCTGTTTATTCTCACCCCCTCCTTCTTCACTCGTCGTCGTCGTCAGGCCCGAGAAAGGTTCGGGACAAGGACAACAGACAGCTGCGCAACTCCTCTTCTTCAGGCCACTTGCTGGGTTCAGTGTCCGCTCCTGGAGTGCTGTCCATGCCTTTGTTCGCTCGCATATGGTCTTGCTGTGTGTCTGAAGTGGAGTGTGTTATTGGGCCTCCGCAGGGGGATGTAGTGGCCGCCACTCTGGTCGCCCAGGATAGCCAACATGCTTAACAATAAGAGGAGCCCCGAGGGCTTGAAACAAACGGCCCAAGAGGCCCCCAAGAGAGCCTCGAAACGGTCCAAGAGGGCTCCAAGACAACGAGAGACCCCAAGACAGCCCAAGAGTCAAGAGAGGGCTCAGAGGGCCTCCCGATGCTCCCGAGAGAATCCTACAAGGCCCACAGGAGGCCCCAAAGGGCCCAAGAGAGCCCCGAGAACCTCCCAAGATGGCCCCAGCCCCCCAAAGACGGCCCACAAGGGCTCCAGGACAGCCAAAGAGGGCCCTAACGCGGCCCACAACGCTCCCACTGTACGCGTTTTGCCCCCACAAGCCCCCGAGGCGCCTACGGTAGGCCCCATCGCGCCTTTCCTTTCGCGTCCCAGCTCCCTCTGAAAAGAATAGGATCCCATAGGGCCTTGAGGAGGCCCCACCACTCTCCTACTTTACACATTTTCACCCCGGGCCCCCGAGGTGCCTGTAGGGAGGCACCAGCACGCCTTCACTCCACGCTTCCCGGCACGCTTCAACAAGAGCGGGATTCGAAAGAAGCCCCCTGGAGAAAACAAGAGCATGGGGTCCCGAGTAAATGGGGTCGAAGTTTGCGCCGCATCGCCGATGTATCGGCGATGTATCGGCGATGCATCGGCGATGCATCGCAAAAGTCGGCGACGCATCGGCGACGTCGGCGTGGAGAAAATCGGGCTCCGCATCGAGCCGCATCTGCGATGCATCGGCGATGCGACGCGATCCTCCGACCCCATCCATCTACTCCGACCCTGTCTAGGAGGCCCAGAAAGATGCCCCAAGAGGTCCCCAAGAGCGCCCCCACACGCCTCACGAAGCTCCCGAAAGTACACGGGGGTCGCCTTTTCAAGGGCCCAAGCGTCTCTCGTGCTCGCCCCCGGGCGCCCGACGGTTCTCCGACTCCTCTCCTTCCTCCTTCCTGTGCCTCGTCTCAAGGCCCCGACAAGGGCCTTGTCGGGACCTTGAGAATCGGGGCTCAAGAGACGGGGGTCAATGCAAACGGGGGTCAACCAGAACGCCCGACCTTGCAGGATCCTGCAGGGCCAGGGTCGCACTGATCCGGGCTTGGGTGCAGGATGCTGCAGGATCTTGAAGGATCCTTCGCGTTGACCCAGGTTTGGGTGCAACATCTTGCAGGATTCTGCAGGATCCGGCAAGGCCAGACTGATTCGAGTCTGGATTGACCCGGGTCAGCAGATCCCCGAGAGAAGAGGCACAGGAAGGAGGAGAGCCTCAAGAGGGAAATGGAAAGCACGGGAACAAAGTTGGGCCCCTGGTGTTGAATACATTGAACAACAATCGCGTTGAGAATTGATGGGGTGTTGCGTCAATGTTTTCAAAAATTGCGCATTTCCTGTCATAAGGGAATGGAAACATTAGCGGAAGACTGGCGGCAACCAGCGTGCCGACTTCCGTAAACTTTTAAACTATGCAATCATTATTACTTGTTCACCTGTTTCAATCATCGCGAGGAATCGCAATACGTATAATGATTTTACTCTCCAAGAAAGCATCGGCCACGAGAATTTGATTCAACGGGAATGGAAATAATTGGAAAAACGGAAGAAGTTGTCCTGAGAATCGTTTACCCGCTCCCCATCCCTAGCGGCGTGGCCTGGGCCCCACGGGCCGATTTACATCCCTAGATGGGATATAGGCCGTTCCCTTCGGGTTTCGAGGGGTGTAATCCCCAACTGGGGTGGTGATTCGGTAGGGGTCTCGCAGGGGATGAGGATGGGGATGAGGATGGGGATGGGGGTCGGTTAGACGATGCTGATTGCCACAAGTGAAAAGTAACACGTCTTATCATGAAGTGCGCGCGGCGGAAGCGCAACCGAAAGCAGCGGAAGTGTTTCCGGCATAGTTTTCGACATCACGGAAAATTGGCGGAAAGATGACGAAGCTGGCGGAAGCGCAGGGTCCAACGCAGTTGCGACTGGCGGAAGCCCGCGGGAGGTTGGCGGAAGGCCGCGGGAATAGAAGAGACGAGAATTCGCCGGCCCAACGGGGTCAAATACGGCAAAAGAGGCCCAACATATCGCCTCAAGACGGCCCAAGAGGCCTCCAAGAGAGCCCAAAGAGGGCCCCAAGATGGTCCAAGAGGGCCCCCAAAGGGCCCTCTTGGGCGCCCAAGATCGCCCACGAGGGCCCCAGGACGGCGGCATGAGGGGCCCAAGAGGGGGACCACGACCCAACAAGTCGAGCCTTCCGCCCCAAGAGGCCCTCAGGAGGCTCAGGAGGCCCCCTGGAGGCCCCCTGGAGGCCCCCAGAAGGCCCCAAAAAGATGCGCCAAGAGGCCCCAAACAGCCCCCACGAGGCTCCAAGAGGCCACGAACGCGCAGGCAATCGCCTGCGACGGCACGGGAGCGAAGCGACTACATAGGCTTGAGTATACAGCTTCCGGAATGCGCGCGGGGCTTCTCAGAAGCCCTTGCGCCTCCTCAAGAGCTTGTCTGTGTCTTCGGAGCGGGCTCCGAGGACCCCCCCATAGCAGGCGCGAGGGCTGCTGAGAAGCCCAGTCCTCTCCCTTTGCCCCGGGCTCGCCGCCGATCCCCGTTTCTCCACGCGCTGGCCCGCTGCCCATGCTCCTCGCACGCGCTGGTCTCGCACGTGCTCCGCCCCTCTGCCACTCGCTGCCCGTACCCTCGTCCCCGCCCGGCCCCTGCGCAGCAGCCGAGCGGCTCTTCGACAGACGAGTTGTTTTGTTTTGTTTTTGCCTCCCACGCTGCAGGCTCCGCCGTGACCTCCAGGGGCCTCTTTCCTGACCACTGGCTATCGGCACCGACACACGAACGGCGGCCAACACGAAGAACTGCAGTCTTGAGACTCCGACATGCCGCCGCCTCCTCGGAAAGAAGGTACAAGATGGCGATAATCACGAACTCAGCCGTCGTATGCTTGAGGTGATCCGCTTCCCCTCATGGGGGCTATAGCCGTCCCCAACGAAGCGCCGCTGTCGCCACCAGGCGATGCGCAAGACACGGGCACGCACCAAACTGAAGAACTATAGCTGCAGCGTTCTACAAGGGCCGGCCGAGTAACGTCAACGCAGTCAGAGGAGAGGAAGAGGAGGAGGACGAAGGAAGAGAGAACTTCCGGACAAACTGCTGGAATCTCGAAACACTCCCAGCTCAGAGGATCGAGAATCCCGCACGCTGAATTTCAAATGGCCTGCGAGTTGGCTGACACAAACGGTCACTAATTGTCCCAGCCCGGGTCTACCGCCAAGCATCCGCCCTCGGCATTCGGCGACCTGTCGTGGCTCATGTGCCCCTCGGCCCAATCAGCCGCACTACATAAGACTCGCATTTAAAAAAAACAATGCGAACACAACAGGAGCCGAAACTGCAAAGCTACAAAACCCGTGCAGAGCAAGAAAGAAGAGGAGAAGGGGGACAGGGAGGGGAGGGGGAGGGAGGAAGAGAGGGCGAAACAGTTCAAGTACAAAATAATGAGCTTGTCTTGAGTCGGTGTGGTGCTGGGCACCCTGAGGAGCTGGTGGAAGGCTGAAGGCCAGAACGGCGAGCGAACCGACCCAGCCAACTCCCCAAGTCTGCGCCCCAGCGCCTACCGAGGCCCTCCAGACCCTCGGGGACAGCCTCCAACCACCCAGCCCAAAGCAAACACCCTGAAACCGACAACAGCTGGCCAGTAGAGCAAAAATGCGACACTTCACCTATGCATTAAACCATACAATGACCAATTACCCAAAAACACTACCCGTGCAACAAGGCGGGCTCCCGCGGGGAAGAGCGGGGAGGGGAGGAAGGACCGGGGCACCAGCCGCTGCCGCGCAGGCGCGCCAGAATCTCCTGGCAGGCGATCCGCTTCAGCGAAATTCAGGTCTGCAAGCCAGCGCAGCTTCCCTCCGCGATCCCACTCTGGAACTCCGACTGGCCGAATTCTTCGGGGGGAGAGCGAGGACGAGACAGGCAGAGGAGCCAGAAAGCAGAGGAGCCTCTTCAACAGACGAGTATACGCTTGGCGCAGCAACATAGCTGGCGACGAAATCTTCGGGGGCATGGCAGGAGGGGGTGGAGATGAACTTTCGATGGCGAGAACCAAATCAAACTTGGTGGAGGAGGGGGAAGGAGTGGAGAGAGAGCAAGTGGGGGAAGAGCGATGCAAGAGGGAGGAACAGGCGGAGGAGGCAGAGAAGGAGGAAGGAAGGAGGGGCAGGCGAAGAGGCGGCGGATGTGGGAGAAGGAAAGATGGCGGCTCCTGTTCAAATTCGTGCCGTCGCACCTGCGCCGCCCACGGCTTCCTCACAACTACTACCAGGGGCCAGCTACGAGCCTTATGGGACTTCGGACGGAAGGGCACATTGCCGCATCAGTGGCTCGTGCTGGATTCACTTTGGTCCACATCCTCTTCATCCTGCTCTTCCTTCCAAGAGCCTCCTGCTCCCGATTCTGCTCCTGGTCCTTCCCCAGCACGTGCTCCCCTCCCCACTTTCTCCTCCTGCTGCGCCTGCCTCTCCTCACCGCCTTCAGCCTCGAGTCTGCCCCCTCCCGGCTCCTGCATTTTCTGGAGCAGCTTCCCGACGTTCTCGAGAAAACCCTTGATCATCACCTCTGGCGCGGAGGCAACGGGGCGGCTGCTCCCACCCCTCGCAAGAGGAGGAGGGGGAGGAGGAGGAGGAGGAGGAGGAGGAGGAGAAGACCAGGTGGGGACAAGAAAGATAGCAACAATGAGCATACAAATATTTTTTTGGCCCTGTAGCGCACGGCGGGGCACAAAGCGTCAAAAGAGCAAACTTGAAGCCTCAGCCTTGAGCTTGAGCTTCGGAGTTCCGCTTCTTCGCTGCTAGAGCTTGAACTTATGCTCGTGGGTGCCCACGCGTGCGTTGGATGTGTCCGCCATGGTCTCGCATGATGCTGATCTGGTGGCCTGTCGTAGGTGCCGCGTGCCCAGGTGGGGTGGGCAACCCGTGCCCAGGTGGGTCCGCCGGGGTTTCGCCTGGTGCGTACTCTTGGGCGCCTCGTGGGCGCCCACGCGTGCGCTTGCTGTGTGTACCGAGGTTTCGCCTGATGCTCGGCTCGTGGCCGGTCTTGGGCGCCCCGTGCGCTGGGTCGGAGGGGGAGGGACCGGAGATTGGCGGCCCGCCCCTTTTCCCCTTTCCCCCTTCTTCGAACACATCTACAACTACACGCAGCAAAACTGCACCTTGTTGCGGGGACCAGGGGTGGCAATCAAAATTCGATTTGGCGCGTCGGTCGGTCTGGGTGGACGGACACCGCTTCGCGACCTACGATGGAAGGCGATGGTCGCGCCGACGACGTTGCATGCCAAGCGTGGAAGCGATCACCACGTTGCACGGCGAAGCTTGGCGGCAGCCGAAAGAGAAATCATAACAAGAAAAAGCGCTCACGCTCGGACGGGGAATCCGGCACGAAGAAGAATTGAAAGCGCAGGGGATCGGATCGCGAAGTTGCTGCTGGGGCACAGGCGGGGGAGGGAAACGGGCTGCGCGACGTCGAGGCCCCCAGGCATACGGCTGGCTTCGCTGAGCCAGGGGATGCGGGTTGTCGGTGGGGAGCGGCCCAGGGGGCGGGGCCTCGACGATGGGCAGCGCGGGCAGCCGATGCTTCGCGAAAAGGGGACACGTACAGAACGGCACTTAGCGGCCGGGGCGCGGTACACGTCGGGGGCGCGAGTGGCAGCACCCGACATGCACCCCGCCCCGCCGGCTAGGTGTAGTTCTATAAGTGCTCCGTTTTGTGGGGATGTCTCCGGCGAAACCAGCACGTACAGAACTACACCTAGTGCCCGGCTAAGTGTAGTTCTGAACGCGCTGGATGTCTCGCGCGGGGCGAGCACGCACAGACCGGCACCTAGCGAAAGGGGCGGGGTACACGTCGGGTACGTCGTCGCGCCCCGCCCGCAGAGTCAGGAAGGCAAGGGCCGCTGAACCCCTCTGCTGGCCTCCGGGCGGAGGTGTTTGAACGTCCCGGGGCTATCAGAAGGAATTCCAACTGCGGCCTCCGCCCACATCGCTCCCCCTATCAGAGTATCTCGCCTGGTCACTATGTTCACCATTCCCGCCCGCTGTTTTGCCCTCCCCCTCCCCCGTTTTTCCTCTACCTGCCGCCCTCCATTTCCCTGAGCGTTTCCTGGTTGCCCCTGGCCCCTGCGCGGCGGCAAACGCCCGCGCCCCCCCGCAGCTGAAAGACTCACCTTGCGCCCATCCTCCAATCCACTCGCGAGGCGCAACCCTTGGTTCCAGACTGACAATGGCAAGAGACGCCGAGGTCCAGGCAAATCCAACAGGCGCAATCGGCACCCTCGAATGGCGGGCGAACCAATACGCAAGACGATGTCGCAAAAGTAAGTTTGGAATTTCGGGATCTGCGCAAGAAGCTAATCCACTCGCCCAAAGTGTAGTTCTATGCCTGTCCGACTTCTTCTCGCTGACTCGCACCCGGCGTTACCCCTCCCCCTCCTGACTCCTTCTCCTCCTCCTCCTGCTCGCCCACCTCCTCCTGGCTCGCCCTCACACCACACAGGGGACACACAGTTTGAATCATTTGCGCAAGCCCTTCGGCCTGAGGCGGCCTCCACAGTGCACAGGCGCCAAGACGGCCCAGGAGTGCCCCCCAGAACTTCCCACTGAACAGCTCCAAGACAACCTACAGGCGGCCCGTATCATAAGGATGCGCGATAGGGATGCAAGGGCCTTGGACGCCCATTTCGAAGCCTTTCTAGCGGAGCGCGGCCAACAAAAATGGCCAAGGATGGACCGAGGAGGCAAGGACGCAAGGGTATCTTTGAGAAGGTTGCTCATCCTATGTGGGTTGACTGTACGGCTGACGCGCCGCGCGGAGCGCAATCAATGAGACAGAGGCGGCTGGGAGAAACCGTGCACATATTGCAGCTACGCTTAAGCAGCTCTGTCCGCAGACATCCGACATACGATATTTTTGTTCAACACAAACCCCGATTCTATGGACCCCTCCCCCGGTCAAGATTTTCATCCCGAATCGTAGTTGACATTCCCATGGCCGGAAACCGGCCTCCAAATACTGAACATGGCAACAACTAAACAAAATCTCAGCTCAGATCAGCTCGTTGTCTGGACCCCAAGAAGCCAGAAGTTCCTTCCATGGAACTCTCGAAACATATTTGTGGAGCCCTCGAATAGGGACACGGGCTCTATACAGATCCACTGCCCCAGGCCTGGCCCATCCTGGGCCCAGGAGCGGTGCATATGCCCTCCTGGCCTGGCCAGCGTGGCATATACATCGCTCCTGGGCCCAAATGGGCCAGACCTGGGGCAGTGACTGTGCATGGATCTCGCTGCCCTGGCGGGAGGCCCCCCAAGCTCAGGAAGAGCCAGACAGGTGAAAGCCCAGAGAAAAAGCAAGCCCAGGAAGGCCCACCAGGAAGCCCAGGAGGCCCAGGAAGGCCCACCAGAGAGCCAAGCCCACGAAGCCCAGGAAGGCACACCAAAAAAAAAAACCCAATCAGTGGATGGTTTTCGCTGAGGAGATCGACCGGGGACCCGAGAGCCCAGGAACCCAAAACCCACCGAAGTCAGCCCGGAACCAATAACCCGGAACCCGGGAACCTAGGGAACCGGGACCCCGGAAACCAAGCCTGCTACCCAAATCGGCGGGAAACTTTCGTCAAATCTTTCAACTTCCGCTAGGACGCCTTCAGTGCAAGCACTGATTGGGGAACCTCGATCTGCAAACCTCGAGGATGGAGGAGGAATACGAGGGTTCACGGGGGGAGTGGGGGGTGACTTTTAAGACTATGTGACGTGCGCTGCTTTCTCGCGCCGCGGCTGTTTTGTTCGTTGTTGTCCCTTATTATTGTTATTGTTTGCCCCTTTTCTTGTTCTTATCATGTTACTGGGTGTTCGCTCTCTCTCTCTCTCTCCTCCTCTCCTCTCCCGTCCTCTCTCTCTCCTCCTCCCTCTCCTCCTCCTTCTGTCTCTCCTCCCTCTCTTGACTCTCTCTCTCTCTCTCTCTCCTCCTCCTCTCCTCTCCTCCCATTCTATGTACCCCGCCCCGCCACAAAAGGAATCTATATGTAAATCCGCTTCCCCCGTGTCCACCTCCGCCTCCTACTCTTCCTCCTCCTCATCATCTTTCTCATCCTACTCCACACAAGGAATCCATGTGGAGGCCCCTCCACATAACGGATCGATATGAAAAAAAAGGCCTTCCACATAAGGAATCAATTTGGGCAGGCTCCTTCACATGAGGAGCTCATCTATGAAGGCCCCTTCCACATAAGGATTCAACATGTTGAAGGCCCCTCCCATCCACATAAGAAATCCATGTGGAGACCCCTTTGATCTAAAAAATGAATATGTGGAAGTCCTTCCACAGACGAAATCAACATGTGGAGGTCCCTTCCACATAAGGAATCAATATGTGGAGGACTCCCCCCCACAAGAGGAATCAATATGCGCGAGGCCCCTTGCACAGAAAGAAAAAATATGGAGGAGGCCCCTCCACAAAAGGAAACAATATCATCTTTCTCCTCCTCATCTTTCTCCTCCTACTCCTTCTGCTCCTTCTTATCCTCAACCCCTGCGCCAGAGCGGGAAGAGGAGGGGGAGGGGCAGGAGGAGGAGGAAAAGGAAATCGCCCGCCGCAAAAGAACTCAATTGGTGGAAGCCCCTCCACAGACGGAATTAACATGTGGAGGCCCCTCAACTTAAGGAATCGATAATTTGAATGCCCATCCACATAAGGAGTCAATATGTGCAGACCCCTTCCAACATAAGGAATCAACGAGTGGGAGGACCCTCCCCAAAAAAATCAATATGGAGATCCCTTGCACTTAGGGAATCAACATGTGGAGGTCCCTCCACAGACGGAATCAACATGTGGAGGTCCCTTCCACAGAAGGAATCAATATGTGGATCATCCCCCACAAAAGGAAAACATATCATCTTTCTCCTCCTCATCTTTCTCCTCCTACTCCTTCTGATCCTTCTTCTCCTCAACCCCTGCGCCGGAGTGAGAGAAGCAGGGGGAGGAGGAGCAGAAGGAGGAGAAGGAAAAGGAGATCGCCCACCACAGAACGAATCAATATGTCAGACGGAATCAATATGTGGAGGCCCCTCCACATAAGGAATCGTCATTTGAAGGCCCACCCACATAAGGAATCCATATGTGCAGGCACTTTCACATAAGGAATCATTATGTGAAAGCCCCTTCCACACAAGGAATGAACAAGTTGGAGGCCCCTCCACATAAAAAATCAATATGGAGATCCTTGCACATAAAGAATCAACACGTGGAGGTCACTCCACAGACGGAATCAACATGCGGAGATTCCTTCAACATAAGGAAACAAACTGTGGAGGATCCCCCACAAGAGGAATCAGGCCCTTTCCACATAAGGATTCGACGAGTGGGAGGCCCCTCCACACAAGATATCATTTTGGAGGCCCCTTGCACATATGGAATCATTATGTGGAGGTCCCTCCACACATGGAATCAATATGTGGAGGCCCCTACACATAACGAGTCGATGTTTGAAGGCCCTTCCACATAAGGAATCAATATGTGCACGCCCCTTCACATAAAGAGATAATATGTGAAGGCCCCTTCCAC